AATGTCACAGAAATCAACTGAAATAAATTCATCATTAAAGAAACATATTTGCAACATCTACTCTGCCTTTCCAACCATAATGCTGGGTTCCAGCATAAAATGAAGTGAAATGTGCACAGAACAATTAGAATTGGGCTAGTCTTAAATTTGCCTCAACCAGTCACAACACCCAATAGGCAGACTGGGGAGACACTGGTGACATGCAGGAGTCAAGACTTGTAAGCCATGGCTCCAACATTGGGGAAGCAGGGTAGAAGAAGAGTTGACAACTTAAAGGAATGAACTTTTATAGTGTTCAGCCATGAGCCAATCACTGCACCAGACTCCTTGCTAACATTACCTCATAAAAAATTCTTACCACCCTGGGAAGCTGATATTACATCCATTTTACAAGAAAAGATACTGGAGATCAGAAAGATTAAGTTACTTGCACAATGTTACAAATATATAGGAGAGTTCAGATTCAAATTAGATTTATATGAATGGAAACCTTTTTTCTCTTTCTGTATTATTATACTGAAAGTTACTCCCCAAATGGCAAACTAACCTCTGAGTGTTTTGGTCCAATTTTATCTTCTGAGCCATTCATCCTGGTTGGTGTCAGTAGATCAAGCACTTTAGGATTGAGGTAGCAGGGATAACACAGAAGCAGCTAATGTTAGCCTTTGTTTCTTAGTTAATGCCAAAAATATTCTGTAATAAAAAAAATAATAGTTTGAAAGTTGACAGCCTATGTTCAGTTTTATAAACACACAGGCACACACACATGCACACATGTCTGTGTGTGTGCCAAAAGCAACTAGTAAGGAAACATAGTACTATACTAAAACTTACCACACTTTTATCTTTTTGCCCAAGTCCTCCACAGATCAAGAGCAGATGTGCAGCTCAGAGGCTCCCAATCCTGGCAAGTGCTGCTTAATGCTCAAGAAAATCCTATTTCACCAGCATCAGCATTGCCGCAGCCCAGGGAAATCCCTTTTCTTCCTCCTACTCACAGTTTTTTCTTGGGTGTTGTATTCAATGCCAGTGGACTGCACCTCCACCCAACCTACAGAAACCTGGCCTGTAGAACCCTGCAATTAATATTGTCAGACACACAAGTCTGTCAACCCACCAGTCAAGCTCCCAGCTTACTAGAAGATACTAAGAAGTCTTTATTAGCAGGGTTTCTCACATAACTGTAGTTTATTCATTTATTTCCACTCTCACCATGACTGTCTCCTAATTAACCATTTTTATAAAATTGTTCAACTATTCACCTTAAGTGTCCAGGGTGCAAACAGGAAGTAGAAGGCTCCCACAAGGAATGGCGACCCCGCCCCCATGACTTTGCTTCTCTTGCCAGCAACAACCTACCAAGCCAACCAGCTCACATTCATTCCAACACACAGGGGAGCACATAATACCCTGGACTGCACCCCTGACCTGAGCCGCACGTATGAAGATTGAGAAATCTCAGGAATGAATATTCATAGAATTGCTGTTCCTTTCAGTGTTTGGACCTACCAGCCAATAAATTTCTCAGTTCTTCACTAAGAAATGAGACCAATTAAGGTGAGTGTAGACTGTACCTATGAAACGTGAGGTTGTAACATGTCTGTCACCTTACCAAAAAAAAAAAAGTTAACTCAAAATATTTCAAAAACTTCTTTTATTCAAAGGACAGAAGTAATACATGTTTTCAAAACCTGAGTCACACCTTTTTTAAATTTTTTTTTAGTTGTTGATTGACCTTTATTTATTTTCTTACATGTGGTGCTGAGAATCAAACCCAGTGCCTCACACATGCTAGGCAAACACTCTACCAACTGAGCCATAGCCCCAGCTCCTGAATCACCTTTTTAACTCTAGGTTCTAAATCAGTATACAAATTATTCTAGGCAAGGAAGAAATCTCAGAAAATATTCTATTAAAGGAAATTAAACATTAAATCAATTAAGATTTTTTTTAAAAGGGCATCAGTTTCATTAGAGGCTCATCTGGATACATAAACTTAATGGAAAGTGATAAAATAGGCCCTTAACCATATTTTCTCACTTACATTATACTTGAGAGACCTGAACACCTAGGTGCAGAACCCACCACATAATTTGTGGGCCCAGAGCAAAATTATTCTTCTAGTATATTTCTAACAAGGTTTTCAAAAAGATTGGCATGATTGTTTCTTTCCTCTTCTTTCTGTTTCTTAACCTGCATTCATTCCCTTTCAAGTGGCTTAGGCACTCAATGGATCCAACCAGCAGAACTGACCATCACTACTACCATCCCTACGTCAGTCAGTCAAAATCCACTTCTCTGGGCATTCTTTTTTTGTTGTTGTTGTTTTGTTTTTTGTTTTACTGAGTTACACATGACAGTACAGTAATCTTGACATATCATACATTTGAATCAGATGGGATATAATTTCTCATTTTTCTGAGTATACAGGTTGCAGAATCTGGGCATTCTTAAGATAATGAAATAGACTTAAATAGCACTAATTTGCTCCTCCATGGAATGGAAACAAAGCCATTGGTATTTGACTGCTCCTGGATGGGAGGGGCTGTGGGTTAGAACTGGAAATTGACAACAAAGAAAATAAAACCTGGTGGATTCCAGAGACTAGGGAGAAAAACAGGAGAAGTGGAGTACCCCAGTTTCAGGCACCCAGCACCTCAGTTACAGGAAAGGGACTCTCCCCTCAGAGCAGGTAAAGGTGAAAGACTAAGGGTCACAGCTTTGTGCAGAAGGCTACCAGGAGCATCCAAATGCCTTAAATAAATAAGTGACATGGAGTCTACATTACAACTTAACTTTAGAGAAGCCACACACTGCACCTGCTAACCAACCCTCAGAGTGCCATGGCCAGGAGCCATCTTCAGACGGTTCCTATTATTAGGACTAAACTGTTCTGGGGATCAGAAAACCCAGCATAATCACATTTCAGAATTCCTCTGGACACCCTGCCACACTGAACGGGAAGGCAGCAGCCACACGAGACAGCTGTGGTTTGGAAGAGTGTCTCTGTCACAAATTCACTGAAAGGTACATTCTGTGGGAAGCACAGGAATGCAATGGTGTGGGAAGTAGAGGGCCCAGAAGTTCAGTGATCCTGCTTTCTGTGGCATGAAGCAACATCAGTTCTGTATTGACTAGTGTGGGGGCCAGGTATGAAGAGACTACCAAGAACTGATTAGCAAATCTCCTAGTTCTTCCCACAACCCTCCTCCAGAATGGAACTTGATAGTTCAACTGCTCCCCCAACCCTTGGAGGAATTTTGGGTATCCACCACAGCTTGGATATGGGCCACATCCCTGGAGGCACAGTCTAAATCCTTCCAGAGAGAACACACCTCCAATATGGCCAAAAGTCCCTTAACCTGTTTAGTGACAAAGATGGGGAACAGCCTGCTTTCACCACAACTCCTTTGGCAAGACTTGAGAGGAATTTCAACATACTGCTGCTAGTAACAACTACCCCAACCCCATACCTGGCAGATTGTAATCATATCCAGAGAGGAGTGTTTCCAAGCAACTTGGTTAGGGGAAATTTTTGACTCATAATTTTTTAAAATTTTGTTCTATTATTCTATTATTTCCTTTTATTTCTCATTTTTTTCCTACTGTTATTCTATATTTTAATTCTTTAAATGGGTTTTTTTTCACTCTCTTTTCTTCTCTCTCAATCTCCCCCCGGCCCCAATTTTTATTTCTGGGTTGGGGAGTGAGTCCTAGGAATTGAACACAGGGCCTCAAGCATGCTAGGCAAGTGCTCTTCCTCAGAATCACACCCCAGCCCTCCATTTTTATTTATATTTATATTGTTTGTCCCTTCTTCATTATCCTTTTTATTTTTTATTTGACCACTTTAACCCATTACTGTTGTTGTTGTTTCTAGTATTATTCTCTCTCCCTCTCTCTTTTCCTGGTGCTTGGAATCAAATACAGGACCACACACACATTGGGCAGGTGCTGTGCCTCTGAGCTATACTCCCAGCACAGCTGAGAAGAATTCAGACCTACTTGAACCCTGACAGATGCTTCTAAGACATTTGCATAAAGAAAATAAGGGACATAAACTCCTAGCTGTTTCAGACCATTCACTATGATTGAAACAGCCAATATCAGATTCCCTTTCAAGTAACAGAATCAATTCTAATAGTGCCCATGGAAATCCCCTTCACCTGATAGGGGCTTCTACTCCCATTGTTGGGATGACCTAGAGGGTGCACCCTATATATCCTTCAGTCTATACCACACCAAACTAAATTACCAGAGGGACCCCATTCTGTCAAGACCTACATTGAAAGCAGATTGCTCACACTCTAATAAAGTACACATTGTGTCAAACCCTGCAAATTACAGTGAAAGAATAATATCCACAGGGAGATTATATGACAAAGATCAATTGAAATTAAACTCAACACTACAGGAAACACTGATATCTCAAGAAACATCATAAGAGAAGGCTGCTTTTTTTTTTTTTTTAGTTGTAGATGGACACAATACCTTTATTTTATTTATTTATTTTTATGTGGTTCTGAGGATCGAACCCAGTGCCTCACACATGCTGGGCAAGCTCTCTACCACTGAGCTACAACCCCAGCCTGAAGGCTGCTTATTAAGAGGCTCTCACATAAAAGTGGAAGAGATATCTGCTCCAACGGAGGCTCAAATTAGCGTAGAAACACAGAAATATTTTTTAAAAGATGCTATCACACTTCCTAAGCTTCATAATTCCATTGTAACAAATCTCAAATATATTGAAGTGGATGAAATGACAGATACAGAATTCTAAATAATTATTTCTGAAATGATCAATGCCAAGAGAACACAGAAAACAATTGAATGTATTAAAGAAGTTAATGCAGGATGTGAATAAGAAATTCAGTAAAGAGAGATTTTGAAAAAGAATCAAACAGAAACCTTGGAAATAAAAGCTTAATGAAACAGGTTTTTAAAAGTTTTTAAAAAAGAAATCCAGGATCGGGAACCTTCTTTGCACTAGCGATGAAAGAACGAATTAAAAATGGGTGATGTTGAGAAAGGCAAGAAGATTTTTGTTCAGAAGTGTGCCCAGTGCCACACCGTGGAAAAGGGAGGCAAGCACAAGACTGGGCCAAATCTCCATGGACTGTTTGGGCGGAAGACAGGTCAGGCTGCTGGATTCTCTTATACGGATGCCAACAAGAACAAAGGCATCACCTGGGGAGAGGATACACTGCTGGAGTATTTGGAGAATCCCAAAAAGTACATCCCTGGAACAAAAATGATCTTCGCTGGCATTAAGAAGAAGGGAGAAAGGGCAGACCTAATAGCCTACCTCAAAAAAGCCACTAATGAGTAATAGCTACTGCTTTATTTATTACCAAACAGAAATGTCTCTTGGCTTTTTTATGTGCACCATAATTTAATTGATGTGATACACCAGAAATCAGATCATGAATGACTGACAAAATTATTTTTGTTGGACAATCCTGATTTAGGTAAAACTGACTTGTAGTTAAATTAATATTTTGGTTATATTCCCACTTCAGTAAATTCTATCACTGTTTCCCCTTTTTAAAGTTATGGTTGGACTTAATTAGTAATGTTCAGTATTTCACAAAAATGGTGAATGACATCTGAAAACTGGTTTTATATTTAGTTTTACAGAACTGATTATGTGAATATGTTTAAATATGGGGGAAATCCCTTTAGTCTCTCAGAACCAAGCATGGTTCACCTTTGTTTCAATTTGTGTTCATTAGCCTATTAAAAGCAGTGGTTGAAGATAAGGAAGCACTGTCTGTATTTTTGTTGACCATGCCAATTTAATTAGAATTCCCTGTATCTAAAATGCTGTTCTTTCCTTATAGAAAGTGTGGTTTATGTATGATATTAAATAAAGAATATTTAACACTTCTAAAAAAAAAAGAAAAAAGAAATCCAGTTTAAAGCTTCACTGATAGACCAGATTAGGTGGAGGAAATTATAATGAGGCTAATAAATTATCACTGACAGTGATAAAGAAAATTAGAAAGAATGAAACAGAACACAAAAGATACATGGAATACCATTAAAAGACTGTACTTACAAATAATCAGACTAGATATGGGAACTACAGGTTAAAAGTATAGAAAAATCTATTCAGTGAAACAATAGCATCAAATTTTGCAAATCTTGAAAGACAAGAACCTTCAGGCATTAGAGCCCCAAATAGACATGACAAGAAAAGAAACTCTTCACAAATATTATAGTTAAACTGCCCAAAGTACATAACAAAGAAAGAATATTAAAAAGTTGCAAGAAAGGCCAAATCATATTTAAAGGCAATTCCATCAGAATAATATTAGATTTCTCTACAGAAACTCAAAAGGCTAGGAAAGCATGCAATGATGAATTTCAAGCTCTGAAAGAAAATAATTGTCAATCTATTTTACTATACCAACTAAAGTTTTTCTTCAAGATCAGAATTAAATAAAGACCTTCCATGATAAGCATAAAGTAAGGAAATCCATGATCACTAGACAAACATTACAGAAGATACTTAAGGGAATCCTAATCCTGGAAGAAGAAGCATAAGCACAATTATGAAAGCAGGGAAGAGAATAAAATTCACTAGAGCAATAAATAAGAAAATGAGAATTGGGAAAAACAATCAAGCATAACAGAAACCCATCTAATTTCTAATATGAATAAGAATGAGAAAAAATGAACTTAAAATGATCAAAATAACCCAAGGGAAACTTACAAAATGACAGGAACAAGAACATGCCTGTCAGTAATAACTCTGAGTGAAAATGATCTTAATTCTCCAATTAAAATATGTAGAAAGAGGGGCTGAGGATGTGGCTCAAGTGTAACCCACTCGCCTGGCTTGCGCAGGGCGCTGGGTTCGATCCTCAGCACCACATAAAAATAAAGATGTTGTGTCCACCGAAAACTGAAAAATAAATATTAAAAAATTTTCTCTCTCTCTCTCTCTTTCTCTCTCTCTTTCTCTCTTTAAAAAAATATGTAGAAAGATTAGTTGGATTAGAAAACCACATACAACAATCTGCTGCCTGCAAGAAACTCATCTCAACAGCCAAGACACACACCTACTGAAAGAGAAAGGATGGAGAATGATATGCTAAGCAAATGGAATACAACAGCAAGCACAAGTATTTATGTTCATATCTGACAACAGAGTTTAAGCCAAAATCAGTTAAAAGAGACAAAATCACTACATACTAATGAAGAAAAAAATATCAAGAAGTATAATGATTATAAATATATATGTACTCAAAGTCAGGGAAACACTACTGAAAATGAAGGGAGAGAAGGGCCCCAATATAATAATAGTGGGAGATTTCAATATCACACATCTCAATAGATCACCCAGATCAAAAAAAATTAAAAATTGGAGTTAAATTACATTATAGATCAAATGGACTTAATAAACATCTACAGAATACCATTTAAGAGTTGAAGAATACATATTCTTTTCTTCAGCAGATAAAATTTTTTTCAAAGTATTTCTTTGATTAGGCCACATAACAAGTCTTAACAAATTCCCCAAAATGAAATAATTTCTTGCATCTTATCAGAGCATAACGGAATAAAACTAGAAATCAACAACATGCAAAATTATAGAAATTTATACAAATACATGGAGATTGAACAATACATTTTTAAACAAATGGTGGGTCATTGAAGAAGTCATAAGACAAATTTTAAAATTCCTAGACTCAAAGGAAAATGAAGACACATTATGTGAGAACCTATGGGATACAGAAAAAGAATTATAAGAGGTAAGCTTAAATTGATAAATGCCAAAATTAAAAGAACAGAGATATCACAAATAAATAATCTAATAATACATCTCTAGGTATTAGAAAAACAAGAATTAACAAAACTCAACATCAGTGGAAGGAAAGAAATAACTAAGGACAGGGCAAAAATAAATAAAATAAATATTAAAAGAACAGTACAAAGGATTGATGAGACCAAGACTTGATTCTTTTAAAAGATAAACAAAATTGAAAAGCTCTGTTATAGATTGGACCTGGAACATCCCCAAGAGGCTCTTTGTTGAAGGTTTGGTCCCCATCTAGTGGCACTATTTGGAGGCAATAGAAACTTTAGGAGATGGGACCTAGCTGGAGGAAGAAGATCTCTGAGGGTGTGTCCTAAAAGAGTGCCTCTCTCTCTCTCTCTCTCTCTCTCTCTCTCTCTCTCTCTCTCTCCTTCCCTTTTTCCCTCCCTCCCTCTCTATCTCTGCTTCCAGTTGCCATGAGGTGAGTAGTTTTTCTCCCCAGGCTCTCTCTACCATGATATTCTGCCTTACTGCAGGCCCAGAAACAATAGCGCCATCTTTAAAACTGTGAGTCAAAATAAACCTTTCTTCCTTTGAAATTGTTTTTCTCAGATATATTTCAATCTTAGTAAGATTGAAAGCTTACTAACATAGAAAATTGGTATCAGAAGTGGCATAAAAATTGGAAAAGAAGAACTTAAATTATCACTATTTGCGGAAGACATGATTCTATACCTAGAAGACCCAAAAGGGTCTACAAAAAAACTACTAGAACTAATAAATGAATTCAGAAAATTGGCAGGATATAAAATCAACACGCATAAATCAAAGGCATTTCTGTATATCAGCGACAAAACTTCTGAAACGGAAATGAGGACAACCACTCCATTCACAATATCCTCAAAAAAAATAAAATACTTGGGAATCAACCTAACAAAAGAGGTGAAAGATTTATACAATGAAAACTACAGAACCCTAAAGAGAGAGATAGAAGAAGATCTTAGAAGATGGAAAAATATACCCTGTTCATGGATAGGCAGAACTAACATCATCAAAATGGCGATATTACCAAAAGTTCTCTATAGGTTTAATGCAATGCCAATCAAAATCCCAACAGCATTTCTTGTAGAAATAGATAAAGCAATCATGAAATTCATATGGGAAAATAAAAGACCCAGAATAGCAAAAGCAACTCTAAGCAGGAAGTGTGAATCAGGCGGTATAGCGATACCAGATTTCAAACTATATTACAGAGCAATAGTAACAAAAACAGCATGGTACTGATACCAAAACAGGCGGGTGGACCAATGGTACAGAATAGAGGACACAGAGACTAATCCACAAAGTTACAACTATCTTATATTTGATAAAGGGGCTAAAAGCATGCAATGGAGGAAGGATAGCATCTTCAACAAATGGTGTTGGGAAAACTGGAAATCCATATGCAACAAAATGAAACTGAATCCCCTCCTCTCGCCATGTGCAAAAGTTAACTCAAAATGGATCAAGGAGCTTGATATCAAATCAGAGACTCTGCGTCTGATAGAAGAAAAAGTTGGCTCCGATCTACATATTGTGGGGTCGGGCTCCAAATTCCTTAATAGGACACCCATAGCACAAGAGTTAATAACAAGAATCAACAAATGGGACTTACTTAAACTAAATAGTTTTTTCTCAGCAAGAGAAACAATAAGAGAGGTAAATAGGGAGCCTACATCCTGGGAACAAATTTTTACTCCTCACACTTCAGATAGAGCCCTAATATCCAGAGTATACAAAGAACTCAAAAAGTTAGACAATAAGATAACAAATAACCCAATCAACAAATGGGCCAAGGACCTGAACAGACACTTCTCAGAGGAGACATACAATCAATCAATAAGTACATGAAAAAATGCTCACCATCTCTAGCAGTCAGAGAAATGCAAATCAAAACCACCCTAAGATACCATCTCACTCCAGTAAGATTGGCAGCCATTCTGAAGTCAAACAACAACAAGTGCTGGCGAGGATGTGGGGAAAAGGGTACTCTTGTACATTGCTGGTGGGACTGCAAATTGGTGTGGCCAATTTTGAAAGCAGTATGGAGATTCCTGGGAAAGCTGGGAATGGAACCACCATTTGACCCAGCTATTGCCCTTCTCGGACTATTCCCTGAAGACCTTAAAAGAGCGTACTACAGGGATACTGCCACATTGATGTTCATAGCAGCACAATTCACAATAGCTAGACTGTGTAACCAACCCAGATGCTCTTCAATAGATGAATGGATAAAAAAATGTGGCATTTATACACCATGGAGTATTACGCAGCACTAAAAAATGACAAAATTGTGGAATTTGCAGGGAAATGGATGGCACTAGAGCACATTATGCCAAGTGAAGCTAGCCAATCCCTAAAAAACAAATGCCAAATGTCTTCTTTGATATAATGAGAGCAACTAAGAACAGAGCAGGGAGGAAGAGCAGGAGGAAAAGATTAACATTAAACAGAGACATGAGGTGGGAGGGAAAGGGAGAGAAAAGGGAAATTGCATGGAAATGGAAGGAGACCCTCATTGTTATACA